GTTTTCCTCTCTTCATCAAGATGCTTCCTCTCTTCTGTCAAAGCTCCTCTCTTATATCTTCTCTCTCTTCTTCAAAGTACTTCCTCTCTTCTTCAAAGTGCTTCCTTCTTCAACTACTTCCTCTCTTCACAAAGTGCTTCCTCTCTCATCAAGATGCTTCCTCTCTTCATCAAGGTGCTTCCTCTCTTCATCAAGTGCTTCCTCTCTTCACAAGGTGCTTCCTCTCTTGATCAAGATGCTTCACTCTCTTCAACAAAGATGCTTCCTCTCTTCATTCAAGGTGCTTCCTCTCTTCTCAAGAGTCTTCCTCAGTCTTCAACATCTTCCTCTCATTCATCAGTGCTTCCTCTCTTCATCAAGGTGCTTCCTCACTCCATCATGCAGACATGGGCTTCCTCTCTTCATCAAGTGCTTCCTTCTTCAACAAATTACTTCCTCTCTTTATCAAGTGCTTTCCTCTCTTCAACAAAGTACTTCTCTCTCATCAGTGCTCTCTCTCTTCTTCAAGACTTCCTCTCTTCAACAAAGTGCTTCCTCTCTTCATCAAGATGCTTCCTCTCTTCAACAAAGTGCTTTCCTCTCTTCATCAAGGTGCTTCCTCTCTTATCAAGATGCTCCTCTTTCTTCAAAGTACTTCCTCTCTTCAAACAAGTACTTCTCTCTTCATCAAGGTGCTTCCTCTCTTCATCAAGGTGCTTCCTCTCTTCATCAAGATGCTTCCTCACTCATCATGCATCCATCATGCAGCTTTCCTACTCTATCAAGTCTTCCTTCTCTTTCACAAAATACTTTCCTCTCTTGTCAAGGTAGCTTCCTCTCTTCTTCAACAGTACTTCCTCTCTTTCATCAAGTGCTTCCTCTCTTCTTCAACTTTAAAGTACTTCCTCTCTTCATCAAGTGCTTCTCTCTCTGATCTCAAGATGCTTCCTCTCTTCAACAAAGTGCTTCCTCTCTTCTTCAAAGATGCTTCCTCCTTCTTCATACTTCCTCTCTTCCAAAGTACTTCCTCTCTTCATCAATTGCTTACCTCTCTTATCAAGATGCTTCCTCTCTTCAACAAAGTGCTTCCTCTCTTCTTCACAATGCTTCCTCTCTTTCTCTAAGTACTTCCTCTCTTTCAACAAAGTGCTTCCTCTCTTCATCAAAGTGCTTCCTCTCTTCATCAGTGCTCTTCCTATCTCGTCAACAAAGTCTTCCTCTCTTTCTATTCAAGATGCTTCCTCTCTTCTTCAAAGTACTTCCTCTCTTCATCAAGATGCTTCCTCTCTTCAAGTACTTTCAAGATGCTTCCTCTCTTCACAAGTGCTTCCTCTTCATCAAGTGCTTCCTCACTCCATCATGCATCCATCATCAGCTTCCTCTCTTCATCAAGTGCTTCCTCTCTTTCTCAAACGTACTCTCTCTCTTCAAGATCAGCTTTCCTCTCTTCATCATCAGCTTCCTCCTCTTCAACAAAAGTCTTCCTCTCTTCTCAGGATGGCTTCCTCTCTTCATACAAATGTCTTCCTCTCTTCATCAAAGATGCTTCCTCTCTTCAACAAAGTACTTCCTCTCTTCATTAAGATGCTTCCTCTCTTTCTCAAAGTACTTCCTCTCTTCATCAGATGCTTCCTTCTCTCAACAGAGTCTTCCTTCTCCTACTCTCCTCTCTTCACAAAGTCTGTCCTCTCTTCATCAAAGTGCTTCCTCTTCTTCTTCAAGTACTTCCTCTCTTGATCAAGATGCTTCCTTCTTCAACAAGTGCTTCCTCTCTTTTCAAATGCTTCCTCTCTCTTCAATAGTACTTCCTCTCTCATCAAGTGCTTCCTCTCTTCATCAAAGTGCTTCCTCTCTTCATCAAGATGCTTCTCTCTTCTTCAAAGTACTTCCTCTCTTCAAATCAAAGTGCTCCTCTCTCATCAAGATGCTTTCCTCTCTTCAACAAAGCTCTTCCTCTCTTCATCAAGATGCTTCCTCTCTCATCAAAGTTACTCTCTCTTCATAGATGCTTCCTCTCTTCAACAAAGCTTGCTTCCTCTCTTCACTCTTCATCAGATGCTTCCTCTCTTCAACAAAGTGCCTTCCTCTCTTCATCAAGGTGCTTCCTTCTCTTCATCAAAGACGCTTCCTCTCTTCATTCAAAGTACTTCCTCTCTTCAACACAAGTACTCCTCTCTTCATCAAGGTGCTTCCTCTCTTCATCAAGTGCTTCCTCACTCATCAAGATGCTTCTACTCCATCATGCATCCATCATGCAGCTTCCTCGTCTTCTTCAATAGTACTTCCTCTCTTCATCAAATCCTCTCTCTTGCTCAAGATGCAGCTTCCTCTCTTCAACAAGGTGCTTCCTCTTCATTCATCATAATGCTTCCTCTCTTCAACAAAGTGCTTCCTTCTCTCAAGGTGCTTACCTCTCTTCATCAAGATGCTTTCCTCTCTCTTCAAAGTACTTCCTCTTTCAACAATAAGTATTCCTCTCTTCATCAGGTGCTTCCCTCTCTTCATCAAGATGCTTCCTCTCTTCATCAAGATGCTTCCTCTCTTCAACAAATGCTGCTTCCTCTCTTTCCACTTCAAGATGCTTCCTCTTTCAACAAAGTGTTACTTCTCTCTCTTCATCAAGATGCTTTCCTCCTCTTCATTCAAGGTGCTTCCTCTCTTCAACAAATACTTCCTCTCTTCATCAAGATGCTTCTCTCTTCAACAAGTACTTCTCTCTTCATAAGATGCTTCCTCTTCTTCACACATGTGCTTCTCTCATCTTCATCAAGATGCTTTCCTCTCTCAACAAAGTGCTTCTCTCTCTTCATCAAGGGTGCTTCCTCTCTTCATTCAAGAGATGCTTCTCCTCTTCTTCTTCAAAGTACTTCTTCTCTTCAACAAGTACTTCCTCTCTTCATCAAGTGCTTCCTCTCTCATCAAGATGCTTCCTCACTCCATCAAGATGCTTCTCACTCATTCATGCAATCCACCTCATCAAGCTTCCTCTCTTCTCAAAGTACTTCCTCTCTTCATCAAAGTACTTCCTCTCTTGTCAAGATGCATGCTTCCTCTTGCTTCAACAAGTGCTTCCCTCTCTTCATAAAGCTTCCTCTCTTCACAAAGTCATTCCTCTCTTTATCAAGTGCCTTCCTCTCTTCATCAAATGCTTCCTCTCTTCTTCAAAGTACTTCTCTCTTCACAATGTACTTCCTCTCTTCATAAGATGCTTCCTCTCTTATCTAAGGTGCTTCCTCTCTTCATCAAGATGCTTCCTCACTCCATCATGCATCCATCATGCAGCTTCCTCTCTCATCAAGTAGCTTCCTCTCTTCATAGGTGCTCATCACTCATTGCATCAATGAGCTTCCTCTCTTCATCAAGGTGCTCCTCTCTTCAATCAAAGTCTTCTCTCTTATCAAGATGCTTCCTCTCTTCACAAAGACTTCCTCTGTTCATCAAAGATGCTTCCTCTCTTCAACAAAGTACTTCCTCTCTTCATTAAGATGCTTCCTCTCTTCAAACAAAGTGCTTCCTCTCTTCTCAAGAGTTTCTTCCCTCTCTCCCTTCAAAGATTCCTCTCTTCACAAGGTGCTTCTCTCTTATCAAGTTGCTTCTCTCTTCATCAAGGTGCTTCCTCTCTTCATCAAGGTGCTTCCTCTCTCATCAAGTGCTCTCTATGTGCTTCCTCACTCCTATATACCATATCAACTATCAGTGCTTCCTCTCTTCATCAATGCTTTGCATATATCTACTTTGAAGAAGAGAGGAACATCTTGATGAAGAGAGGAAGCACCTTGATGAAGAGAGGAAGTACTTTGTTGAAGAGAGGAAGTATTTGAAGAAGAGAGGAAGCACTTTGAAGAAGAGAGGAAAGCACTTTGTTGAAGAGAGGAAGCATCTTGATCAAGAGAGGAAGCACCTTGATGAAGAGAGGAAAGTACTTTTGAAGAAGAGAGGAAGCACTTGATCAAGAGAGGAAGTATTTGTTGAAGAGAGGAAGCAACTTGATGAAGAGAGGAAGCTGCATGATTGATGCATGATGGAGTGAGGAAGCATCTTGATGAAGAGAGGAAGCATCTTCATGAAGAGAGGAAGCACTTCGATGAAGAGAGGAAGCACCTTGATGAAGAGAGGAAGTACTTTGAAGAAGAGAGGAAGCACTTTGTTGAAGAGAGGAAGCACCTTGATGAAGAGAGGAAGTACTTTGTTGAAGAGAGGAAGCATCTTGATGAAGAGAGGAAGTACTTTGTTGAAGAGAGGAAGCATCTTGATGAAGAGAGGAAGCACTTTGTTGAAGAGAGGAAGCATCTTGATGAAGAGAGGAAGCACCTTGATGAAGAGAGGAAGCACCTTGATGAAGAGAGGAAGCACTTTGCTGAAGAGAGGAAGCACCTTGATGAAGAGAGGAAGTACTTTGAAGAAGAGAGGAAGCACTTTGAAGAAGAGAGGACACTTTGTTGAAGAGAGGAAGCATCTTGATCAAGAGAGGAAGTACTTTGAAGAAGAGAGGAAGCACCTTGATGAAGAGAGGAAGCACTTTGTTGAAGAGAGGAAGCATCTTAATGAAGAGAGGAAGTACTTTGTTGAAGAGAGGAAGCATCTTGAATGAAGAGAGGAAGTACTTTAAGAAGAGAGGAAGCATCTTAATGAAGAGAGGAAGTACTTTGTTGAAGAGAGGAAGCATACTTGTGAAGAGAGGAAGTACTTTGTTTGAAGAGAGGAAGCTGCATCTGAGCAAGAGAGGAAGTACTTTGTTGCAAGAGAGGAAGCTGCATGATGAAGAGAGGAAGCTGCATCTTGAGCAAGAGAGGAAGTACTTTGACGAAGAGAGGAAGCACCTTTGATGAAGAGAGGAAGTGCATGTGATGCATGATGGAGTGAGGAAGCACCTTGATGAAGAGAGGAAGCACCTTGATGAAGAGAGGAAGCATCTGATGAAGAGAGGAAGCATCTTGATGAAGAGGAAGTACTTTGAAGAAGAAAGGAAGCATCTTGATGAAGAGAGGAAGCACCTTGATGAAGAGAGGAAGTACTTTGTTGAAGAGAGGAAGCATCTTGATGAAGAGAGGAAGTACTTTTTGTTGAAGAGAGGAAGCATCTTGATGAAGAGAGGAAGCACTTTTGTTGAAGAGAGGAAGCATCTTGATGAAGAGAGGAAGCACTTTGATGAAGAGAGGAAGCACCTTGATAGAAGAGAGGAAGTACTTGAAGAAGAGAGGAAGCACTTGATCAAGAGAGGAAGTATTTTGTTGAAGAGAGGAAGCAACTTGATGAAGAGAGGAAGCTGCATGATGGATGCATGATGGAGTGAGGAAGCATCTTGATGAAGAGAGGAAGCACTTGATGAAGAGGGGAAGTACTTTGTTTGAGAGAGGAAGCACCTTGATGAAGAGAGGAAGCACCTTGATGAAGAGAGGAAGCACTTGATCAAGAGAGGAAGCACCTTGATGAAGAGAGGAAGTACTTTGAAGAAGAGAGGAAGCACTTTGAAGAAGAGAGGAAGCACTTTGAAGAAGAGAGGAAGCACCTTGATCAAGAGAGGAAGCATTTTGTTGAAGAGAGGAAGCAACTTGATGAAGAGAGGAAGCTGCATGATGGATGCATGATGGAGTGAGGAAGCATCTTGATGAAGAGAGGAAGCACCTTGATGAAGAGAGGAAGCACCTTGATGAAGAGAGGAAGCACCTTGATGAAGAGAGGAAGCATCTTGATGAAGAGAGGAAGTACTTTGATGAAGAGAGGAAGCATCTTGATGAAGAGAGGAAGCATCTTGATGAAGAGAGGAAGCACCTTGATGAAGAGAGGAAGCATCTTGATCAAGAGAGGAAGCATCTTGATGAAGAGAGGAAGCACTTTGTTGAAGAGAGGAAGCATCTTGATGAAGAGAGGAAGCACCTTGATGAAGAGAGGAAGCATCTTGATGAAGAGAGGAAGCATCTTGATCAAGAGAGGAAGCATCTTGATGAAGAGAGGAAGCACTTTGTTGAAGAGAGGAAGCTGCATCTTGAGCAAGAGAGGAAGTACTTTGATGAAGAGAGGAAGTACTTTGAAGAAGAGAGGAAGCTGCATGATGGATGCATGATGGAGTGAGGAAGCATCTTGATGGAGTGAGGAAGCATCTTGATGAAGAGAGGAAGCACCTTGATGAAGAGAGGAAGTACTTTGTTGAAGAGAGGAAGTACTTTGAAGAAGAGAGGAAGCATCTTGATGAAGAGAGGAAGCACTTTGTTGAAGAGAGGAAGCATCTTGATGAAGAGAGGAAGCACTTTGTTGAAGAGAGGAAGCATCTTAATGAAGAGAGGAAGTACTTTGTTGAAGAGAGGAAGCATCTTGATGAAGAGAGGAAGTACTTTGTTGAAGAGAGGAAGCATCTTGATGAAGAGAGGAAGCACTTTGTTGAAGAGAGGAAGCATCTTGATGAAGAGAGGAAGCACCTTGATGAAGAGAGGAAGTACTTTGTTGAAGAGAGGAAGTACTTTGAAGAAGAGAGGAAGCATCTTGATGAAGAGAGGAAGCACCTTGATGAAGAGAGGAAGCACTTTGTTGAAGAGAGGAAGCATCTTGATCAAGAGAGGAAGTACTTTGAAGAAGAGAGGAAGCACCTTGATGAAGAGAGGAAGCACTTTGTTGAAGAGAGGAAGCATCTTAATGAAGAGAGGAAGTACTTTGTTGAAGAGAGGAAGCATCTTGATGAAGAGAGGAAGTACTTTGAAGAAGAGAGGAAGCATCTTAATGAAGAGAGGAAGTACTTTGTTGAAGAGAGGAAGCATCTTGATGAAGAGAGGAAGTACTTTGTTGAAGAGAGGAAGCTGCATCTTGAGCAAGAGAGGAAGTACTTTGTTGAAGAGAGGAAGCTGCATGATGAAGAGAGGAAGCTGCATCTTGAGCAAGAGAGGAAGTACTTTGACGAAGAGAGGAAGCACCTTGATGAAGAGAGGAAGCTGCATGATGGATGCATGATGGAGTGAGGAAGCACCTTGATGAAGAGAGGAAGCACCTTGATGAAGAGAGGAAGCATCTTGATGAAGAGAGGAAGCATCTTGATGAAGAGAGGAAGTACTTTGAAGAAGAGAGGAAGCATTTGATGAAGAGAGGAAGCACTTGATGAAGAGAGGAAGTACTTTGTTGAAGAGAGGAAGCATCTTGATGAAGAGAGGAAGTACTTTGTTGAAGAGAGGAAGCATCTTGATGAAGAGAGGAAGTACTTTGAAGAAGAGAGGAAGCATCTTGATGAAGAGAGGAAGCACTTTGATGAAGAGAGGAAGCACCTTGATGAAGAGAGGAAGTACTTTGAAGAAGAGAGGAAGCACCTTGATCAAGAGAGGAAGTATTTGTTGAAGAGAGGAAGCATTGATGAAGAGAGGAAGCTGCATGATGGATGCATGATGGAGTGAGGAAGCATCTTGATGAAGAGAGGAAGCACTTGATGAAGAGAGGAAGCACCTTGATGAAGAGAGGAAGCACTTGATGAAGAGAGGAAGCACCTTGATGAAGAGAGGAAGCACTCTTGATGAAGAGAGGAAGCACCTTGATGAAGAGAGGAAGCATCTTGATCAAGAGAGGAAGCACTTGATGAAGAGAGGAAGCACTTTGATGAAGAGAGGAAGCTGCATGATGGATGCATGATGGAGAGGAAGCATCTTGATGAAGAGAGGAAGCACTTGATGAAGAGAGGAAGCACTTGATGAAGAGAGGAAGCACTTGATGAAGAGAGGAAGCACCTTGATAAGAGAGGAAGTACTTTGTTGAAGAGAGGAAGCATCTTGATGAAGAGAGGAAGCACTTTGTTGAAGAGAGGAAGCATCTTGATGAAGAGAGGAAGCACTTTGTTGAAGAGAGGAAGCACTTGATGAAGAGAGGAAGTACTTTGAAGAAGAGAGGAAGCACTTGAGAAGAGAGGAAGCTTTGTTGAAGAGAGGAAGCATCTTGATGAAGAGAGGAAGCACCTTGATGAAGAGAGGAAGTACTTTGAAGAAGAGAGGAAGCACCTTGATCAAGAGAGGAAGTACTTTGTTGAAGAGAGGAAGCACTTTGAAGAAGAGAGGAAGCATATTGAAGAGAGGAAGCACCTTGATGAAGAGAGGAAGCACTTTGATGAAGAGAGGAAGCATTGTGAAAGAGAGGAAGCACTTGATGAAGAGAGGAAGCTGCATGATGGATGCATGATGGAGGAGGAAGCATCTTGATGAAGAGAGGAAGCACTTGATGAAGAGAGGAAGCACCTTGATGAAGAGAGGAAGTACTTTGTTGAAGAGAGGAAGCATTTGATGAAGAGAGGAAGCACTTGATGAAGAGAGGAAGCATCTTGATGAAGAGAGGAAGCACTTGATGAAGAGAGGAAGCACTTTGATGAAGAGAGGAAGCATTGATGCAAGAGAGGAAGCATTTGATGAAGAGAGGAAGCACTTGATGAAGAGAGGAAGCACTTGATGAAGAGAGGAAGCACCTTGATGAAGAGAGGAAGCACCTTGATAAGAGAGGAAGTACTTTGTTGAAGAGAGGAAGCACTTGATGAAGAGAGGAAGCTTTGTTGAAGAGAGGAAGCATCTTGATGAAGAGAGGAAGCACTTGATGAAGAGAGGAAGCACTTGATGAAGAGAGGAAGTACTTTGAAGAAGAGAGGAAGCACTTTGTGAAAGAGGAAGCATCTTGATGAAAGAGGAAGCACCTTGATGAAGAGAGGAAGTACTTGAAGAAGAGAGGAAGCACCTTGATCAAGAGAGGAAGTACTTTGTTGAAGAGAGGAAGCATCTTGATGAAGAGAGGAAGCTGCAGATGGATGCATGATGAGAGGAAGCATCTTGATGAAGAGAGGAAGCACTTGATGAAGAGAGGAAGCACTTGATGAAGAGAGGAAGTACTTGTTGAAGAGAGGAAGTACTTTGATGAAGAGAGGAAGCATCTTGATGAAGAGAGGAAGCACTTGATGAAGAGAGGAAGCTTTGTTGAAGAGAGGAAGCATCTTGATGAAGAGAGGAAGCACTTGATGAAGAGAGGAAGCACTTTGTTGAAGAGAGGAAGCATCTTGATGAAGAGAGGAAGCACTTGTTGAAGAGAGGAAGCATCTTGAGAAGAGAGGAAGCACTTTGATGAAGAGAGGAAGCTGCATTGATGGAGGATGGAGTGAGGAAGCATCTTGATGAAGAGAGGAAGCACTTTGATGAAGAGAGGAAGCACTTGATGAAGAGAGGAAGTACTTTGTTGAAGAGAGGAAGTACTTTGAAGAAGAGAGGAAGCATCTTGATGAAGAGAGGAAGCACCTTGATGAAGAGAGGAAGCACTTTGTTGAAGAGAGGAAGCTGTTGATGAAGAGAGGAAGCACTTGTGAAGAGAGGAAGCATCTTTGAAGAGAGGAAGTACTTTGATGAAGAGAGGAAGCACTTGATGAAGAGAGGAAGTACTTTGTTGAAGAGAGGAAGCATCTTGATGGAGAGGAAGCATTTGTGAAGAGAGGAAGCACCTTGATGAAGAGAGGAAGTACTTTGTTGAAGAGAGGAAGTACTTTGAAGAGAGGAAGCACTTGATGAAGAGAGGAAGCACTTGATCAAGAGAGGAAGCACCTTGATGAAGAGAGGAAGCACTTTGATGAAGAGAGGAAGCTGCATGATGGATGCATGATGGAGAGGAAGCATCTTGATGAAGAGAGGAAGCACTTGATGAAGAGAGGAAGCACCTTGATGAAGAGAGGAAGCACTTGATGAAGAGAGGAAGCACTTGATAAGAGAGGAAGTACTTGTTGAAGAGAGGAAGCACTTGATGAAGAGAGGAAGTACTTTGTTGAAGAGAGGAAGCATCTTGATGAAGAGAGGAAGCACTTTGATGAAGAGAGGAAGCACTTGATGAAGAGAGGAAGTACTTTGAAGAAGAGGAAGCATTTGTTGAAGAGAGGAAGCATCTTGATCAAGAGAGGAAGCACCTTGATGAAGAGAGGAAGTTTGAAGAAGAGAGGAAGCACCTTGATCAAGAGAGGAAGTCTTTGTTGAAGAGAGGAAGCATCTTGATGAAGAGAGGAAGCTGCATGATGATGCATGAGAGAGGAAGCATCTTGATGAAGAGAGGAAGCACTTGATGAAGAGAGGAAGCACCTTGATGAAGAGAGGAAGTACTTTGTTGAAGAGAGGAAGTACTTGAAGAGAGGAAGCATCTTGATGAAGAGAGGAAGCATTGATGAAGAGAGGAAGCATTTGTTGAAGAGAGGAAGCATCTTGATGAAGAGAGGAAGCACCTTGATGAAGAGAGGAAGCACTTTGTGAAGAGAGGAAGCACTTGATGAAGAGAGGAAGCACTTGTGAAGAGAGGAAGTGCATCTTGAAGAGAGGAAGTACTTTGATGAAGAGAGGAAGCTGCATGATGGATGCATGATGGTGAGGAAGCATCTTGATGAAGAGGGAAGCACTTGATGAAGAGAGGAAGCACTTGATGAAGAGAGGAAGTACTTTGTTGAAGAGAGGAAGTACTTTGAAGAAGAGAGGAAGCATCTTGATGAAGAGAGGAAGCACCTTGATGAAGAGAGGAAGCACTTTGTTGAAGAGAGGAAGCTTTGATGAAGAGAGGAAGCACTTGTGAAGAGAGGAAGCTGCATCTTGAAGAAGAGAGGAAGTACTTTGATGAAGAGAGGAAGCATCTTGATGAAGAGAGGAAGTACTTTGTTGAAGAGAGGAAGCATCTTGATGAAGAGAGGAAGCACTTTGATGAAGAGAGGAAGCACTTGATGAAGAGAGGAAGCATTTGTTGAAGAGAGGAAGCACTTGTTGAAGAGAGGAAGCATCTTGATGAAGAGAGGAAGTACTTTGTGAAGAGAGGAAGCACTTGATGAAGAGAGGAAGTACTTTGTTGAAGAGAGGAAGCATCTTGATGAAGAGAGGAAGCACTTGATGAAGAGAGGAAGCACTTTGATGAAGAGAGGAAGCACTTGATGAAGAGAGGAAGCACCTTGATGAAGAGAGGAAGTACTTTGAAGAGAGAGGAAGCACTTTGAAAGAAGAGAGGAAGCACTTGATGAAGAGAGGAAGCACTTTGTTGAAGAGAGGAAGCATGATGAAGAGAGGAAGCACTTTGTTGAAGAGAGGAAGCATCTTGATGAAGAGAGGAAGTACTTTGATGAAGAGAGGAAGTACTTTGAAGAAGAGGAAGCATGATGGATGTGAAGAGAGGAAGCATCTTGATGAAGAGAGGAAGCATCTTGATGAAGAGAGGAAGCACTTGATGAAGAGAGGAAGTACTTTGTGAAGAGAGGAAGTACTTTGAAGAAGAGAGGAAGCATCTTGATGAAGAGAGGAAGCACTTGATGAAGAGAGGAAGCACTTTGTTGAAGAGAGGAAGCATCTTGATGAAGAGAGGAAGCACTTTGTGAAGAGAGGAAGCATCTTAATGAAGAGAGGAAGACTTTTGTTGAAGAGAGGAAGCACTCTTGATGAGAGAGGAAGTACTTTGTTGAAGAGAGGAAGCATCTTGAAGAGAGGAAGCATCTTGATGAAGAGAGGAAGTACTTGTTGAAGAGAGGAAGTCTTGATGAAGAGAGGAAGCACTTTGTTGAAGAGAGGAAGCATCTTGAAGAAGAGGAAGCACCTTGATGAAGAGAGGAAGCACTTTGTTGAAGAGAGGAAGTACTTTGTTGAAGAGAGGAAGCACTTTGTTGTAAGAGAGGAAGCATCTTAATGAAGAGAGGAAGTACTTGTGTTGAAGAGAGGAAGCATCTTGATGAAGAGAGGAAGTACTTTGTTGAGAGGAAGCATCTTGATGAAGAGAGGAAGCACTTTGTTGAAGAGAGGAAGCATCTTGATGAAGAGAGGAAGCACCTTGATGAAGAGAGGAAGCACTTGATGAAGAGAGGAAGTACTTTGTTGAAGAGAGGAAGTACTTTGAAGAAGAGAGGAAGCGCATGATGGATGCATGATGAGTGAGGAAGCATCTTGATGAAAGAGGAGAGCATCTTGATGAAGAGAGGAAGCATCTTGATGAAGAGAGGAAGCATCTTGATGAAGAGAGGAAGTACTTTGTTGAAGAGAGGAAGTACTTTGAAGAAGAGAGGAAGCATCTTGATGAAGAGAGGAAGCACCTTGATGAAGAGAGGAAGCACTTTGTTGAAGAGAGGAAGCTGTATGATGAAGAGAGGAAGCACCTTGTTGAAGAGAGGAAGCTGCATCTTGAGCAAGAGAGGAAGTACTTTGATGAAGAGAGGAAGTACTTTGAAGAAGAGAGGAAGCTGCATGATGGATGCATGATGAGTGAGGAAGCATCTTGATGGAGTGAGGAAGCATCTTG